CACAACATACGCATTTTATACACTCTTTTTGACGGATACTAGGGGGTCAACTTTTTGCAACAGGCACTTCTTTAAATGTCACTGTCGATTTTTTATTGTTTGAAGCTTATACTATTGTTTGGCGGCGAAATTTTCTGCTGCACAATAATATTTGAATGCGTATTAATTAAACTATCATGCTAAAAAACAATGGATAATTTAATTAACATTCCAATCTTATGTTAACAAAAACAAAAGCGTGCGCAATGAATAAATTTCACTCGCTAACTTAGCGAATACATTTTTACATTGTCATTAAACCACCTTGCAATTCCATTCACAAATGTAAATAGTCATGCAAATATTTTCTCTGAAATGTTGGTTTTCTATGCTTAGCATGTGATTTATAACAAAATGTACCATTAAAACAGTGTTTTGAAAACCTAGTTTTTTACAAAACAGTGTTCTTAGAATGCTGCAAATGCCATTTCCGGGATTCAAATTTTAAAATTTTCCCGCGCCTTCGGCACGAGCCCCAACCCCCACCCCCCCCAATATATACAAAGTGTCCGCCACTGTTAGTATCCATGCGCTGGATAATCTTCCAATATCGACAAATTTAATTTTATAATCTGCGAAGAGCGTATTTTATAGTTGAGCTGATCGATTCTGTATTTTTTCTAGCATCCCGTAAGCTTTACCACAACTATCCCACACCGAACTGCAATAATCTAAATGAGGCAGAATGACAGACGAGTATGTAAAAGTTATGTCAACCATACACAGCGCTTTAGAGTCTTTAGACACTTTTTTAGATATATAATTTACTTGTAATTGTAAACTTGCACTTCTCGACACTCAATACCAGCCTCGTCCCCAGGCGCTCCCGGAACCAGGCGTCGCCGGAACCCGCGCGTCTGTGTTGGAGCCTGGAGACGAGGCTGACTCAATACTGCATATTAGAGAGCTTAAGCAAGCAACGTTTCATTCTCGTACCCAGAGCCCTTCTTACGCGCGTTCGACCGAATACGACGAGGGGCTCTGGCCAAATCCATAACCGCCGGATACCATAAAAACATGGTAAGAGAACAATATCCGGTATTAGAACTATGGCCAATCAGATGCCACTTTGATATGGATTTGGCCAGAGCCCCTTGTCGCGCTCGGTCGAACGCGCGTAAGAAGGGCTCTAGCTACGAGAATGAAACGTTGTTATTTTTTATTAAAAATAACTGACGAACAATTAAATACGCATTTCAAATTCGTGAAGTTATTTCTATATTAAGTGGAGCTATTGAAAGCGGAATATTGTGTTTTAAAAATGAACACATAGGCTAGGACGTCATAGGTGAAATACCCAGTTTACAGTTGAAACTGGAATTTGGGCAAAACATGGCTGGGAAATGGAATCAAGCCCCCCCCCCTGCCCCCAGGACACCTCCCCCCAAACACATTATAGTAATTTGGTATTCAACTAGTTTTTAGAAAACAATCCTGATTCTGGAAAGGAATATGGAAACATTTTTTCCTTCGTTTGCCCAGCAGCAACGCCCTTCACCAACATCAATCCAAGCATGTTTCTAACCGTCTTACAAAGGTTTACGGAGAGAGAAATGTCTATCTCGATGAGTTCTTTAAATGGTGTATACTTAATACTTCTCTTCTGATCTTTCATTGAAAAGTAGGTTCGCCTACTGTAAGCCTCAATGTTGACAGATGAAGGCTGTGTTAATTATTTAAAGTACAAATAAATCATTATTAGTAATTAAGTCTCGTTTAATAGTCTATTGACCATATTTAGCAGCTAAGCGGGAAAAATTGTCTTTCCGTAGTATTTATTTAGCTGACTTGAAATTGTCTTCGGCAAGTGCTAACTGCATGCATTTGACTTTCACCTGATTAATTAATATCATGTGACGTACAAATAAAGGGTAAGATTTAATATATGCCACAACATGCAGGTTTTACATTGATATGATGTAGGCTTTATAACTTACGCAGTCACTCTGTTTCCTAACAAGCAACTCAGGTAGTCAAAGGCACAATTACGCAATACGTATAGAAAAATGTGATGAGGATTAACAGTGGATCATGAGAGATAATTGTGCAGCCCCGCTTCCTCACCAGCCTTCAGTGTGCTAAATATTAGCTTGCTTTGTTTTCCATCGGGTTGCCTGCGGAGAAGGCATTAAGCTATTTCCTATTACCCCGTTATGCCATTACTATACTGGTTACGCCATTACGCTAATGACTAACATCCTGAGTTCATTACGCGTGTTTTGTGAGTTGACGTTTCACATTAAGCCTTCCAGGAAGTCGGTATTTTTGACTTGATAGGTGAAGGTCAAGTTGCTAAAGAGTTTCAAAACAGAACATTCTTGAAATGTTTTATCTGATAACAAACAAACAATCATTCATGTAATTGTTCTGTTGCAAGTTCAAGCAATACAACACAGTCACCGTCAAAATACCCGAGTGCCTGCATGCCAATCATGTAAACATTCAAAAGAATTGAAACTCTAGGACGAGGCCAGTTAAGGCAAGTTATGCATATAACAATAATTTACTTATATTGCCAGTTAAATACCATCTGATGCACGATTTCTAGTGAAAAACACTTATTCACAAAGACATGATGGCAAATCTATCTTACGCGCGTACGATGCTTGACAATTTAAAACCAAGAAGTGAGAAGGTTAGCCTGCCGCCGCGCAGCCATGCAGGCTAAAGTTGGTTTATACGTTTCTGTGATCACAGTAGGAACTCAGTGTTTAACAGTTTAAATGAACAGTTTCCTCAAACATTTCTTACAAATCCTTCAATCTGCGATTACATAAGTAGGAATTTATCTATGCAAAATTCCTACTGTGATCCCAGAAACTTAATGTGATGAGCATTAGAGAAAGGTTTGAGGAGAGTACTAAATGATTAATGATTATCCAATAGAATCTTTCAAATACTCAAACTGTTTGTTGATTTGATGTCAGGATTGGCCTAACTATGGCAACATTTTTCAATCTTTATCAACTTTCATTTCGAAGTGAGATAAACATGCTACTCACTAAGTACGTCACTAAACTAATGAGGATCTGATAGAAATCATCCATGGAATAATCAGTATGAATGATTGGGTATCGTTTTTATAGGTGGGGTATCGTTTTCCAACTTCAATGAAGCCCTGATGGTCAGTTGATCCTGCCAGTTAATCAAACATTGCGGCAATTTTTGTTGTTGATAAACCAGAATGATGTATTTACATCTTGAAAACGCATCATTTACACTTTTATTTGGTCATTTCTAAGAATACCGACACAAAATATTTTGATAAGCCATCAAAATAACAAATTGCTTTACTAATAGGATTATTGTTGTATTGATTATTTGACGTAATAGCGAACGCCGTTCGTTTGAATTTTGATGATTAAATGTACGTTGTTTTGAGAACCTATGAATTATTTCCTGCTTAAAAACGCTTCAATATCATTAATTGCTTTTTTATATAATTGCCGTTGGAAATTGTTGCCGCCCAGTTACTGTTCCAAGTGATGAAAACATGCTGCGACTCATCAATAAACACTTCAAAAAATTACCTAAAAAACACTACCAGCTGAGTTTAATTCCATTACAGCTAGGGTGCTATTGCATTATACATGTGTATTCTAAGTATTTTGCCTCCTGCCCAGCCGCTTTCAATTGTCGCTAAAAATTGTCCCTTGCCCTTGGGACATCGCATTAAGTGTCTTACGCGTTTGACGTCATTATAAGAAAGGTCTAGAGTTGCTTTTCCTTTCATAAAAACTCGTAGTCTGGGGCAGGTTGTAGTCACGAACTGTTTGTGCCAGTGTAGGTGGTGATACAACTACCTGAAAAATACAAGGAGCGGCTGGCTTCGACTTTTCGAGTGAAGGCTTTGGTCGGCAGGAGAGTGGACGAAGGGCCTTTGATCGAAACGTCGAAGCCGGCTCCTTGTATTTTTCAGGTAGTTGTATCCCATCAATCAGAAGCTTTGCAAAATAGCAAGATTTCCTAAGAAGACGCCTGTGGAGGAGGCGATGTTCACATTGTCGTGTTGTCTCAAGTGTATCCGTGAACGTGCGGAACAATGAGACAGCAATACATGTCTCAATTACGTTGTTCCAACGATGATAAAAGAAAAACGTGGGATGTTTGTATGCATTTCCTGTCACCCCAATACACACCCAACATCCACACCCATGTGTTTTCCCACGCGTTCTTCGTCAGGGAAACATTGTGGTTGGGGCAATCACCCTATTTAAGGCCACAATCGTGATTTTAATAAAATAAAGTATGTCATTCTCATGCAAAATGAAATTTGAGAATACGGTTTGGGATAACTCCCACTCTCCTAACTCGTTGTCTTCTTGATTCATTTCAAGGCATTCACTGCACCCAACATACACGGCATGCTTTTGCAACTGGTGTTTCACGTGGCTCTATGAAAGTATTAAACAATTACACGATCAACTTAGTGTATTTAGAAATACTCGGTGTTTTAATAGCCACTCAATTTCCTAGTCGGCAAGATTGTTTGGTCTTCGTGGGAGGAACTTTAATACGTTAGGGAAATTATTCGCACGATAAAAATGCATGTGCTGTCACAACATGAAGGTCAAGTCCACATCTAATGAATTTTCACGAATCATACGCACTTATCTTTACGCGCATACTGTGAAGACAAGATAAAAGCATCGGTTATTGATAAATCCACATGTTATTGTAGCTGTTATATATTGTTTTCGTCCTGCTATATCCTTACTATAACAGTACGTGTATATCCAGCTAACTTGCAAAACTAACAAGAAAAAAAATTAGGATAAAAACATGTGTAATGTTGATGAATAAGCTATTTTTGACTGTGTTCTTGATTATAAATACTCTCACATTGTGAAGTGTTATCCTTTCTTTGTTATGTGTAATTATGGATAGTTGAATTTTTCAACAAACACTAATTATCTTTCCTTGACCTTACACGATCCAAGTTCACAGTTCTAAAATGTTTGAAAAATACCGAATTTTTCTGATATGGAAAAATGTACCAAGTTTTCTCTCAAATGGCTTATCAATCAACAAAGTTAACGATCCGGTGTCACAAATATATCAGAATTCGTGAGACAAAATAATTTGATGGCTGTGACCTTGCAAACTTGAGCGGAAGTGAATTGAAAAGAAGTGGTTAAATATTAGTCATTTGAGTGCATAAAATGATCGTGGGGTTTCTCCGGAACATTACAGCAAACCACACTCATCTCCTGGTCGCAGCTCAGAAAAAGTATCGAAAGTCTAACATATCAGCGAGACACCGGTCTTGAAGAAAATGCATGTCTTCACTAACAGTGACAGCTTTCTAGCAATGATTGTATCCAAGTATCTGTACCCGGTTCTTATCGTTCTGTTTGCAACAACGTGCATACTCCTGGTTATTCGACGAATGCAAGAGAACACTGGTCTTCCTCCAGGTCCATTTTCTTGGCCAATTATTGGTAATCTTCATTTGCTTGGCAGCACACCTCATGAACGACTTACAGAGCTGGCCAAGACCTTTGGAGATGTGTATAGATTACAACTGGGGTCTCGTCGTGTTATTGTCTTGAATTCTTTGGACTGTGTTAAAGAAACATTAGTGAAGAAATCCAGCGACTTCTCCAGCCGTCCGCCTTTAAGCAGTTTACAAGCATGTGAAGGCAGTCTTACATTTGGTCCTTATGATGCTATGTACGTTAAGAAGCGAAGGTTAGCTCACCTTTGCATGCATAGCTTTATGTCAGATCAAGAACGACTAAACTCTCACATTAACAATGGGCTGCAAAATCTTTGCAAGCGACTTGCAGAGCATAACGAAGAATTTGATCCAATTCCTGACATAAAACACGCAGTCGCAGAAATGAATTTCAAATATACTTTCGGCGAGGACATTGATGCGAACAACAAAGAGAAACTTAACGAAATATTGAAAGAGTTCAGTGAATTCAACGCCAGCAGTTTACCTGACTTTTTACCATGGTTAAGTCCATTGTTCCAAAGATCATTTAAAAGAATAAAAGAAATTATTGCTCATCTTTTGAACTTTGTTAGACACATTTACTTTGAAAAGAAAGAAAAATTTAACAAGGAAAACGAAGTGAGCTGTGTTGGTGATGCGTTGGTACGATGCTATGAGAATGGTACAAATGAAAGATTGGTTGCTCTGGGCGAAAAACTTGACCTTAATGAAGAGAATGTTGCTACATTGTTAACAGATTTGTATGGTGCAAGTGTTGATACAACCAGCACAAGTTTAATTTGGGCAGTACTTTATCTCGCTTGTCATCCAAATATTCAAGATCGTTTGTACAAGGAACTCAGCGATGTTGTTGGAGAGAATTGTATAAGTGTGAATGACAAACATCGCTTGCCGTTCTTGGAGGCAACTGTTTTAGAAATTCTACGATATAGCACAGTTCTTCCTCTAGCTGTACCACATTATGCAGAACACGAGACCACTGTCGGACCTTACAGAGTTCCTGAAGACACCATCATTTTTGTCAACTTGTGGGCCATTAACCACGACGAAAGAGTTTTCAAAGAGCCTTTCAAATTTGATCCTAGTCGTTTTATTGATAAAAATGGTGAAGTAAATAGAGCTCGTTTTTCTTCTATTCCGTTCTCAACTGGCACTCGTAAATGTCTTGGTCACTTACTTGCTCAACTACAGTTGTTCTTACTTCTTGGTGGTATTGTACACAAGTACAGAATTGAACTATCTGGTTGTCCAAGTCTGTCACCCGAATTTGGGTTTATTCTTCGACCACAATCTTTTAAAATAATGATTTCCGCAAGATAACATACAGTTATATATATTTTGCGTAATGATAGGACTTGTTTAATTGTGAAATAATTAGCCGATGATTTAAAACTTTAAAATGCATCAATTAGTGAGGAATCAAACCGAGGCTGGATAACCGCCTACTATGTAATGACATTTCTATATATATTACTTATAGGATATGATCTGGCTGCGCCGGTAGGATTGGGAAATACCTAAAAAATACACGCAGATTTTCAGGTAGTTGAAAACGGATACGGCAGCATGTATATTCATCATTATTGCACTATTGAGTATTACATGCGTTATTGCTTTACAGACATAATTAACTGTTAATTTTATAATTGTTTTATGATATGGTAATAAGAGACGCTCTAATCTTTCACGGAAGGATAATAATAAAGTACACTTCATAATGACTGGCACATATTGTACATTTTTGAAGTTCATTTAATATATCCATAGTTATTATTGTGATTGAACTTTGTTTTAACTTTTCATTGTCTGCAATAACAGAACTGTCCCAGTTGCGTGAGTGGGGTTACATCATAGATGTCTTGCGTGACTGGGAGTGGGGATACATCATACATGTCTTGCATGACTGGGAGTGGGATACATCATACATGTCTTGCGTGACTGGGAGTGGGGATACATGTCTTGCGTGACTGGGAGTGGGGATACATCATACATGTCTTGCGTGACTGGGAGTGGGGATACATGTCTTGCGTAACTGAGAGTGGGGATACATGTCTTGCGTGACTGAGAGTGGGGATACATCATACATGTCTTGCGTGACTGGGAGTGGGGATACATGTCTTGCGTAACTGAGAGTGGGGATACATGTCTTGCGTGACTAAGAGTGGGGATACATCATACATGTCTTGCGTGACTGGGAGTGGGGATACATGTCTTGTGCGACTGAGAGTGGGGATACATTGGGATACATGTCTTGCGCGATTGCGAGTGGGGATGCATGTCTTGCGCGACTGAGAGTGGGGATACATGTCTTGCGTGACTGAGAGTGGGAATACATGTCTTGCGTAACTGAGAGTGGGGATACATGTCTTGCGCGACTGAGAGTGGGGATACATGTCTTGCGTGACTGAGAGTGGGGACACATCATACATGTCTTGCGTGACTGGGAGTGGGGAATACATATCTTGTGTCATTGTGTTGAAAACGTACTAATTGCTCGCATTAATATAAGGTTTCATGCTAAAAGATTGGAAAAGGATTAAAATCAGAAAGAAATTATCGGAAATTAAAAGATTAAAAGCCATATTGATTTCATTCCACATCTAATTTCTATGAAGATCGTTCAAGCAACAACATGCAGCTTGTTTTAACTATTTTCCGCGTTTAAATTTCTGGTCAACGTAATGAAAACAATTTTCATGAAGACTTATAATTATTAGTATTAAAAATGCTAGATGCGCGACCAGGATTCATAATAAAGTAAATATTTAGCTCAACTTTAAGATATTTCTTCTTCTTGAGAAATTATTATGCAAGTCTTACAAAGAGGACGTACATTTATTATAGATTTAGTTCTTCTTAGTACAGATCAGTGCTCTCCACACGCAGCTACACATGAGCAAGTACGCAATAGAGAAATTGTGGGGGTAGCAAGGGATCGTGAGGAATAAATGTGCATTATTTTTCACATTGCTCGGTTTCCTTTGTTCTTATCGGGGAATATATTTAATATTCCCCTCTAATCAATTTCCCTCTAATATTCACCTGTATTTCTTTTGCAGCACAAAAAATGAGAAAAAACAACATCACAAAGGCAATATGGCAGAATTATCCCTATTCTGACTCATTAACGCGACCTCGCAATGTGAAAAATAAGTAGGTTATGTTGAGGCACCTCGGGGATATGTGTTTATTCACCTCGGCGCCGCGCGCCTCGGTGTGATAAATCACATGCATATCCCCTCGTTGCCTCAAAATAACCTATACGTATTTATATAAAGTGAATAAAATTAGTTTTTCATTACTGCCTCCACCTCCCACACCCCCCCCCCCCTCACCAGCCCTCAATCTAATAAATATTACATAAAATTGCCCTTGTTTTCCACCGAGTTGATTGCGAAAGAAAAAGCTTTTGACAATGCTTGACTGAATTACGAACGCCACAAATCAGAATTGTGCTTTCGTGAGATGCGAGGTGAGATGTATTCACTTGTAGTTGTAGTTGAGTTCAGTTCTGGATTTTATTCCACAAAAAACGACATAGGGTCGCACAATAATTGCAGTGCATCAGAAATATTATTACTAGGATCAGACTATATTGTTAGTTTTTCTATATCTTTAGTTTGAGAAATTTATGTTAGTCTACTAGTCATGAAAACACAAAGTCAAAGGGTTTGATATATTTGGCAACTCAAAGTATAGTTTTCAAAACAAAGTTAAGTACCAGCTAAAAATTGCGTCAGTATATACGATGTATTAGACATATAATATTTGGGGAAGTCTAAATATATGCATGCACTGTAGGACTGAATTGTGCATTCTTCACTCTTCAGCTAGGGTGTATCATAAAAAAGGAGACCTTTATAGAAGTTAATCTATTGTTGTTAAGCACAATATATTTGTTCATGGTAATTAAAAATTCAATTCAATTGTGTTTTCGCACTCTTGTGTTCAAACTTCAACGTAGTGCTTATAGCATTCAAATTATAATAAGGTTAATTTCTAAAGGTCTTCTTTTTTTATCCACCCTGTATATCCCCCACTTAGGCTTAATCTACATTTTCTTGACTGGTGGCGAACTTGACCTTCATGCAGTTTTAGTCAAAATAATTATATCAAGCACGTTAAACACATTGCATATCATCACAATGCAAAATGAACTATAGTCTATATAATTTTTCCTTGATAGCCTAATTTTTCCTTGATAGCCTTGATAGCCTAATAACGTTATTAAATATAAAAATTAAAATACTAGCACTAAATTGGACAAGACATTTTTATTTTAATATGATAGAAATACGTTTGCACTGCATGAAAGTCATCTTTATTGGCTTAACTATATTAAGCTTCAAGGGTACGGAAATTAGGAATTATTTGACATTTGTTCTCGTGTCGGCT